ACTCTTAAATTCAGCTAAATGAACTCAATTGCCTCATTCCTTCAAACTTAATCAATCCATAGTGTAAGGAATAATTTATTTCCAGGAAAAGGCAAACGGCTGATCATTTGTCACGTAGGTAGTGAAGACGGCTTTGTTCCCGAAGCACTGTGGGCCTTTGAATAAAAAAAGACAGGGGACTATCATGAGGATATGGACGGCAATTCCTTTGAAAATTGGTTCTCCAAAATGTTACTAAAGCTGGAGAATAACGCTGTTATTGTACTGGATAATGCCCCGTACCATTCAAGAAAAATAGAAAAAATTCCCACAATGGCAACTAAAAAAGCAAACATACAACAATGGCTGGCCTCAGAACAGATCGATTTTGATGAAACAATGGTCAAGGGTGAATTGATAAGTATAGTCAATAGACATAAATACAAATACGATTTTAAAATGATCGACGAAATGGCCAAAAAACAAAATAAAACTGTCTTGAGACTGCCACCCTACCATTGTGAGCTGAACCCTATTGAGCTGATTTGGGCCAACATAAAGCAATACGTGGCGTCGAATAATAATACTTATAAATTTTCTGATGTTAAAAATCTCTTTCACATCGCAGTCAATAGAGTTACGGCAGAGGAATGGAAAAACTGTATCCGCCACGTTCGGGAGAAGGTTGAGGTCAAAATGTGGGATTTGGACAATGTCATCGATACCCAAATTGAACCTCTAATAATTCATTTAAACGATTCAGAAGATTCAAGTTCCTCTTCTGAATGAGTGCGCGCAGCTTACTTACTAATAACTAAAAAGTGTAGTTAACTCATTTGTGAGTCTCTAACTGAAATTTACTGTAAAAGATAATAATTATCTTGTATGAAATTTTTGATGACTACCCATAATATCTTGATGCGGTCCTGTAATGTCTCCTGCACCTAAACACTCACTCACGAGCAATATGCGTATATTTGTTTGGGTTTAGTTTCTTTCTTCAGCGCCTAGAGAATACAAACAACGCCGAACATAGCTTCAATCTATTGAGCCTTCTGGATGAATACTACGCTATATCACTGGAATCCCACAAACCCGTCTCTGGCAGAACGCCCGCGGATTAAACCGAGATTCATAGCAAGCCCGGTGCATTTTGGAAAACAATAAATTAACTTTCCAGCACCCCACATGGCTTTATTTTTCCCAAGACGTCCTCCAGGTGTAATGAAACAGTCTCTGCGTGATGCCGTTGGGGCTCTGACCGCCTTATTGCCTTGTTCTACACAATGCCGGGAATCTGCTCTTTGTTTTTCATATTACGGCGGCGGAACAAGAAATAATGGTTTTTAATTTTTGGCCTTTTTATTAAGGGACCTGTCAGGGATAGCGCGCAAATTGTGATACTCTACCCCTTTCATTTCCATGCAGAGTTAAGTAACGTATTGCTGCAGATTTTAATAGCAGATACAGTACCGTCACAAATTAGGTGTTTCTGCATAAAAGTGGTTTCAAGTGTAAAGTATGCATATTCATAAAGACAATGAATAAAACTCGTACGCGCAAATTATGACCGGCATCATAACGACACTGAAAACTTGTTAAGCACACATACACACACACACACACACACAATGGCAATTTCAACAACATTTCTATAAAAGGCTATATTTTCTCACTAAAATCGCAGAGGGAGTGTGATTTTCTATTAAAGTCAAGAATAGGAGCACAGAAGTGTAATAGAAAATTACAGACATGTTCAAATTTGCATGCCATATGATTATTTTTATTTATTTACTTTTAAAGTGCTCATACAGGGTACTTGCAATAGAAGTCTAGCAATTTCATCATAAACAGATTCTCTAAAGTCTAAACTGTTTCAAATAGAACATTAATCATTTTATAAGATAGATATTTCCCCAATATTTCAATCTATTTGCAAGTGCTACAAGTTTTGGATGTCACCATGGCAACCGGTGTTGCTTTTCGAATGCGAACTTTATCACCGATTTCAAAAAGAAAACTTATTTTTTCAGTTAGCTCAGGAGTTAGATTGAGACTGTTCTCTATTGTACTTTTTGTTTTGATATAATAATATTTATTCACTCAATGTACAAAGATAACAAACAATATGAGTAAATAAATATAAAATCAAAACAGGCCCAATAGAAGGCATCGCCTGTACATGGACCAATAATTTAAGTTGAAACTGTAGAATGCAAATGACAAAAAAGGACAAAAATTAGCTACAGTAGATTATGTATTTAGTAGATGTTCGTATTTATTAGTTTATGAATTTCAGTCCTAGATATAGAATGTAGCCACTTTTTTAAATTTCTTTTGAAACAATTTCCAAAACGTAAATCTTTTAAGTCTTTAGGTATAATTTCATAAAATTTAGGCGCTAAATAGAGATATGATCGCTGCATTATAGATTTATGCGGTTGAGGAACTACTGTGCCACGAATTTTCTACCTGGTATAATGATTATGTTTAATTTTTTGGTCGGTGTTTACAAATTTATGGTAGTGAGTGATACTGTGTAAGAAATAAAGCTGTCTTATAACTATCATACATTCGAACATCTACGTATAATTTTTCAGTGGGATAAAGTTTCGGTTTTTCAAATATCATTTTTAGAATATTTTTTTGAAAAACATCTAAATTATAGATATGTGAGGAACATGCAGCTCCCCATGCTAATATACCATATGTGAGATGAGGCTCAATCAGTGCATGGTATAATGTTCGAAGATATTTTTCTGTCAATATATTCCCAAGGTATTTAGTTTTGTAGGATACAAATCTAACTTTCTTTAAAATATAATTGACATGGATGTCCCTTCGTAAGTGAGGATCCAAGACCACTCCAAGGTATTTTATGTTGGACACTCTATTAATTTGCATTTTTTGATCATAATATTGAAGGAGAAATTTGTGTAATTTGGCAGATGTCTACCATAAGATCCAAGTGGTAAAAAATGTGTTTTAGAGTAGTTAATGCCTAATTTTCTACTGTTAAACCACCGAATAATTTTGATAAAATCATTTTCAATTACATTTTTCAGATCAGACCAGTCAGTGGCTTCATATAATATTGCAGTATCATCTGCAAAACTAGTTATTTTGCCAACACAATTAATTTGGAAAATATCATTTAAATATATATTGAATAACAGCGGACCTAAGACAGTTCCTTGTGGGACACCACACTTAATATACATTTCTTTACTAAATGATCCTGATATCTGCACAGATTGTGGGCGAATTGACAAATAACTTTCGATCAGTGAGTACGCGTTTCCTCTGAAACCATTTCTCTCCAATGCTTCTAATAATAATTTGTGATTAACTGTATCGAAAGCTTTCTTTAAATCAACAAAAATACAGATTGAAGGGATTCTGTTATCAATATTTTGATGTATTTGATTTACAATTTTAGTTATTGCGTCCGATGTAGCCTTCCCTTCTGTAAATCCATATTGATTTTCACTTAAAATTTTGAATTTTGTGAGGTATCGAATCATCATAGTAGATAAAACTTTTTCAAAAACCTTTGCTACACTGGATATTATTGATATTGGTCCATAGTTGTTAACATCTGTTTTTGTTCCTGATTTATGTATCGGTATTATATTACCTTTTTTAAATTTGAGGGATATATGCCAGATTCAAAGCATTTGTTGATTAGGTAAGTGAGTGGTTCTGTTATGTCCTCGGCTATAATTTTCAAATGCTCGCTTTTAATACTATCGAACCCAGGACTTTTCCGATTTTTTAAGGACATAACAGTGGTGTATACTTCACATTGCTCGACTTTATCCAAAATAAATGAGTTCAAAGTTCTTTTTGGAGGCTGAGTATTCTGTACATTTGCTTGTATATTACTTGCTAAATTTTCGCCTATGTCAGTAAAGAACTGTGAAAATAGTGGAGAAGTGGTCAGTAATATCGCTTTCTAGGATTATTGGTTTACAAGTAATTTTGTTGGATAGGTCTTTCACAAAGCAGTGATCTATACATGTGCCACTGATGGACCTTGTAGGTAGGTTTATATAGGACAGAAATCCGTTACTTGATAGGATATTCAAGTATTCATTTGTGATGGGATCATCGTCCAAAATATTTATATTGACATCTCCCAAGAAAATATGTTGCTTTAAATGAACTTTATTTTGATTTTGAAAAAAAAATTCGATATTCTTTAAAAACTCGTGGGGTTCTGAACATGGCGGACGATAAATTGCAGATACCTCAATTTTGTTATGGTTAATTTGGATCATTATGTTTAAAATTTTGATTCCGTCGGTGAAAGTGAATGTATCATGATTATATTGCAGTTTATTTCTTACAAAAACTGTCACCCCATCGTTTTGGTTATAAGTGCCAAAGTTATACAGCGTGTCATATCCCTGCTGATTGAAGCAAGAAATATCAACCACTTGCCACATTTCAGATAAAACTATCAGATCAAAATTGTACCATATTTGGTCGAGTAGTATTTTCAAGTAATCAATGTTGTGTTTTATACTCCTTATGTTCATATTAAAAATTCGAAATTTTGCATCAGAATTTTGTGTACATAAATTAAGTTCATCAACGTTTTGTGCTATATTTGTTGCAATACTTGGAATTTGGAAATCATTAATGTATTTATTTACTGACATTTTTAGGTCCTCTCTAGAGATAGGAGTAGTAAAAGATGAACTTAAATTTTAAAAAAGTATCCTTAAGTTTTGTTGTTCCTGATAATATTTGTACGATGGACAGTTTTTGTCGGTAGGTGAGTGGTTAATATTATAATTTTTTTTATATCTTTCATTTCCATATCTACAGTTGCAGCATTCTATTGATACATGCTTTAATACTTTAATCCAGTTAATAACTGATCTACGTAAGTGCCTTTTTTAGCTCTTCGATACTCCATTTATAAAAAAAATTAAATCTACCGAAAAAATGCCCGTAATTCCACCGAAAAGGGATCTTTTGCAACTGGCAACATTGCCATAGTGTGATAAAGAAAAATTAGATCGTAATTTTTTTTCAGGATACTGACGTTCTGCTACCTCGCAGCCTTCAACTGGTGGCTTCTCCTGTGCCCTGTCACATTGTCTCACGACTGGCAAATGGGCTCAATTCCTCTAGTCACCAGTATCAGCGACTCAAGGAACATCATGACCATACTCATGATCGGACTCACGTTTCTTCTTACACTCAGATGCCTACAAGACTTTGATGTAAGTTCATAGCCTCACAACATAAAAGCTTGTTGAAGTTGTCACTTGTAAACGTTTTGTTTTTAAAGAAGTGCATTGTTACCTCTATGTACGTGTCGTATCTCTAAACATCGTTTTTGTCTTATCTCGTTGAAGCTTTCTCTTTGTCTATCTTATCTTAATGTTAACTCTATCTTGTGTCTGTTGTTTATCCATCTTCTTTTTATTCTCGTCTTATTTTTATTTTTGTCTTTTATGTGAGTTGTGCATTCGCCGTTTTACACTGCACTGCCAATTGCTCTGGGTACCAAGACATGAAGGGTACAAAGAAAATGGAAAGACAGATGAGGTAGCCCGACAGGGTGCGGCAACTCGGCTTGGTATCAGACAATTATAATGCAACAAATTTCAATTTATATTAAACGAAAAATCTGTTCGTGAAACTTCATAGCAAGGTTGAAAAGCGTAGTTGATTGTTTGCAATTTGTTTTTGTCGTTTCAAACAGCTTTACATGTCAATACGCTTGCATACATGTAAATAATATTTTTTTTTTCATAAATTATCCTGCAGGGAAAATTGATCAAATACCTCAAAGCTGTATACGTCAATAGTGTTATGAATAAATGAAATGTATATTATCGCTTGATGTTATTTGCATGTACACAGCTATTTTATATTCAAATTGCAGCCATTGTGTATTTTAGTATATTTACTTAATCGAAATTAACTTTTTTCATGCACAAATTATTTCCGTAAGAATATTTGGATTGATCTGGTTACAATTTCAGTGTTTCACAATGTACATACATCGGGTAAAGCAAATTGGATATGAAAACGTGTAGATGAATTATGATCTTGAAAATTGAATAAAAAATTAACTAACATTCTGGATGTAAATAATCTAAAACTTCTAGTGACACTTCGCAGATGCTAAAAATACTATATTTTCAGAACCAGAAGCATCCTTCTATGGTGCTAGGACTCATGCTGTTGATTATACCTTTTCTACCAGCAACAAATATTTTAGTTACTGTTGGATTTGTAGTAGCTGAAAGAGTATTGTACATACCAAGGTGGGTAAAATATTGTTAGTCCAATACTTATAACATTGTAAGTCGGATGTTTCCAAGGTGATTCATCTTCATCACGTTTTATGAAGTCGTTATAGTCTCAGTAATATTTTTGTTCAATTGATGGTTTGGACTTGTATGATGCCTTTCACCGTGGTTTCGAAAATTCTGAATATGTATGGTTGTATGGATTTTTCCAATATTATACTAAGTGACATATAAATCCGAACACCCAGTTTAAATGGTTTTATTTTAATAATATTTTGTATAAGTACTTAATGAAGCATAATAAGTAAATGATAAAAATTTCAAAATAATTGCACTGCTTTAAAGCCCTTTGAGCTTTAATAATGTGTGGATGCACCCAGATGTCCTACGCATTCTCCAACGCGCCTAGGCATGCTTCTGATCAGGTGGTCAATGTCCTCCAGGTAACCACCAACTCCTCTCGAAGTGCTTCTAGAGTATGAGGAGGACGTTGCAAATTGAGCAATCTCCTACCCATCATATCCCACACGTGCTCAATTGGGGATAAGTCGGGAGATCTTGGTGGCCATGGTAACAATGTGACATCATTATGTTGAAAGAAGTCTATTGCGACTCTTGCAACATGTGGTCGGGCATTATCTTGTTGGAAAGTTGGATCTGCCAGGGTGTCAAGATAGGGTAAAAGATGGGGTTCTTCATGTTACCTCTGATGAAGATTAAAGGTGACCTGGAACCATAAGCTATAGCACCCCAAACCATAACTCAAACAGTGTGAGGAACATGTCTTTCAACAAAAAACTGTGGATTCCTCCTTTCACCACTTCGCCTTCTAACCCTGGCACGACCATCGTGCATGCCTAAACAAAATCGAGACTCGTCACTAAAGACAATACTGTTCCATTCCTGATCCCAGAGTGACCGTTGTCTGCACCACTCAAGGCGATTACGTCGGTGTTCTCGAGTTAAAGGGAGGGCCCAGTGTGGCCGGTATGAAAACAAGCCAAAACTTCTCATTCGTCGGTAAACACTTCGCATGCCAATAGGTCTTTCGTGTTCTGCAAACCATTCATTTGCAATGGACCTGGTAGTGGAGAAACGGTACCTTAAGGCCAATAATCTTAGGCGGCGATCATCATGGTCTGTTGTTCTACGGCGGCGTCCAGTGCCCCTTGCTCTTTGCGTACGGCCTTCTCGAAGCCATGCCTGACAACACCTAATCACAGTGTCTACACTTCTTTGCACTCTAACTGCAATTGCCCGAAAAGAAAGTCCAGCTTCCCGAAGTCCCACTATATGGCCAATATCAAACTCACTAAGTTGACGAAATCGTACAGGTCTCCGTATTCTAGGCATCGTAACCGATCGTAAAGGATGTCAAGAACCAAAATCCGCCAACGTTGATTCTTTACTGCGGCTGAAATATTCATTTTTAGAGCGTTAGTGAATTAAAAAAAATCAGTACAAAAACCGGAATGTCCAACTGATAAGGCTGAAAATTTTTTCACTTGCTATTTACAGTAAGATAAATACATTCACCAACTTTTATTAAAATAAAACCATTTAAACTGGGTGTTCGGATTTATATGTCACTTAGTATATTTACATATTTGTTCACAGCATATCATTTCTACATTATTATATGTTTGTATTGATAATTCAACTTGACAATATCTAGGACACGAAGGAACATTTTTTCGGATTTTTTTTTGTAACAGGGGGTTCGACTATTTGCATCACTATTTCTTTTTTGTTCAATCTAACCACATGGGAGCATGTGGTTATAAGTACCCTTTCACATTGCGAAATCAAAAATTGATGTTTTCAATAGTAAGAGAAAAAATCTTGAAGACCAAATTACACCTCTGTTAAAATATGGTGAAAGCGTCAACTATTTGTATTGAATGGACACTCTCAAGATTTAATCCATTGAATGTCCATAGGTATAAAAATATTGCATCAGTTATACATACGTTGGACCCTTAGCACCTTCTAGTTCTGCAACTGTGTAAAATCAGTAAACTTAGCACCACCTGTATCTAATATGTTTCCACAAAAGCCCTTAAATTCATTACATTACTATCCATATGGCTTTCAGAGCACTGGAAAATAAGATAGCTAGCTATTGAACTGCTTGTTTACATCCTACACCACTGACGATAAAGTGATGTCATTGCGAAAAATTTCGAAAATGAGTAATGCTTTTTGGATCACGAAAACCCTTGTCACGCACTTCCATCGGTCTGTCGGTCTGTTCGCTAATCCTTGGCCCGTCTATAAGTTGGAAAGTACTGCTCCGAATTTGATGAAATTTTGTTATGAGAGTACTACTGTGCCAAGGAGACAAGTCTTTGTGGTTTTCGAAAATCAGCCCAGTGACGGCGGACCTTAGTGCAAAAAGCGAAAAATTATAATCGCCCACGCCCTCTTTCTTGACTTTTCAGAAGCTCCGTGTCATTTTCAGAAAAACGTTTGTTAGGTTTAAAAGATGGGGCTTGACGTTAGCATATTTATACTTAAAACCAAAGATAGAGAAATATCTTCGACACGAGTCTCTGCTCTCTGAGTTCACCGACGTCACCCTCTCAACGATAAGCGCTATGTCGTCACTGCGGTACTGCCGAGGCTGACGAGTGGATGTATCACGCGGTGATGTATGGAGAGCGGCGACAGTCATAGATGGATGATAATATCGGTAGGGCAAGGAAAAAATGTATATGGACAGATTGTAAGAGCCAGTTTCACTAAAATGGTCAATTCAAATCCCCTGTTATGAAACCAAAAATTCCGTCAAATTTTAATTTCAGTCTTCAATGCAAGACAGTTGTAACTTCCAAAAAAACTGTTTTTTTAGGTGTAAGCTTTGATTGCAATTTAAGATGGACAGAGCAAATTGATTCCGTATGTAAGAAACTTGGAAAAAGTCTGTATTTAATACTTACGCTAGGGAGGATGTTAAACACCTCAGGATTAATGGATGTATACTATGCATGTGTACACTCTGTCATTTCATATGGCATTACTGCGTGGGGCCAGGCTAGTGAAATCTCTAGAGTGTTTGTCTTACAAAAAAGAATCATTCGCATTATATTTAAAATACGCTCCAGATCTTCCTGTCGTGAGATATTTGTTAAACACAAAATACTTACAGTAGCATGTATATATCTTTATAATCTTTTAACATATATTTTTCAGCACAGAAATGATTATCTTAAGCATACTGACATCCATGACTACAGCACTCGTAATAAAAATAATATAGTTAGGCATGTGTCATATCATACGTTTCATTCAAAATCTCCCATAACAGCAGGAATATACTTTTTTAATTTATTACCTCCGGAGATCAAAAATGTAAACTCCGTAAGGCTTTTCAAAAGACGTTTGCGGAACAAGCTATCGTTCTGCAGTTTTTATGACCTAGGTGAATTTGTCACATTCCACAGTGCTTCTGATAGATCTTAACAAATAGTTTATTGCCATGTGTTTATCATATGGTTTTTTATGTTCTTATTGTTATTTGTATTTTACTTCCTTTTATCTATATTTTAATCTGTATACACCAACTTATCCAATGTCTACAATGTAGATCTAACTGGATCAATAAATGAATCTGAATCTGAATCTGAATCTGAATACATTCATGGGTGGTAGTCGGTCTCTGACTGTCGAACGAGGAGGTACCATCCGACGGATATCTAAGGCAGGTCCAGAACATGTGCATGTTGTACATATGGGTCTTTAGGTCTTAGGCATTCGTGAAGGTTCAAGTATAAAAAAATGTTGATTGCTAGCTTTTTTCTCATAGGATCTATATTTTTTTAAGTACTGATGACAGCGTTGCGGAGTAAATGCAGAGTCAAACTACTTAGGGCCATTTTTTCTACTGTTTCACAAAATCTAGTAACCTGCTATGGGCTTACTGTCTGGGCTAAAAAGGTTCTTATGATAGATGATAAAAATCATTATTTACTGACTGTTTCATCCATCGACTGGTTTTATCATGAAGCCATCCACAATTGACTGTTTCCATTCCTGATGTATAAGCTCAAAATAAATGAAGTTATTTTATAGTACAACATTGTCTTTCAGCTTAGGAAGTATAGTTCTAACAGTGTACGGAATACAAATCCTGTGGTACTCCTGGACTAGCCAGCGTCAGACTATAGCTTGTTTTGTTGTACTACTACTTGCAACAGGATGCATGAGAACCATAGCTAGAAATAGAGACTGGCGATCTCGAGAATCTCTACTAAGGTGAGTACCAGTAAATAGCTTCTTGCTTAACTAGAAATACGTAGTTGTTCAGCTGCAGGTTAAATGATTCATAAATACTATCAGCTATTATCACAAAGTTCTCTGTGAGTACGATAAAATCACACACTGCATAAATTACGTGCGAAAACTGTTCCTACGCATCATAAGACCATAATGAACACCTCTTTGATATAAATGTTTCTTCAAGTTTCTTTTAACTTTTGTGTTTTATTTTTGGAATGTCACACGTTCAGGAAATAACTAATCCATATACAGGCATTGCCCTTCTGTAGATTAAAACATATTTTTTTACCCGTACTATATTGTTATTATTGTTGTTAGATTTTGGAATAAATGATTATCTACCACTATGTCCTACTCCTATGTAAGATTTATGATTTGCAAAGTAAATAAAAAACGACCGCATATTTCAGAGAAAGTGATTATATGAAAATTGAATCTCAGATGTACGAAGTTCATTTTTTGAGTATTGCGTTATCTAGATTTCCTCCATTTCGTTGCACGCACTCATAAAGTTTATGCTCAGCAATTTGCATAATGTGTTGAAATGTGGGAGGTTATTGTGATTTTCATGCTAATACAACTGATACAACTTCATGATACTATGGAAAAATAAAAGCCCCATAGCGCCCTTAGGAGACGTTTTTCGACTTATATTTATAAAAACTGTTCGTCCTGTTTTAAGCTCTAGAAACCGCTGGTAGAATATTGCACACTTTTTTCGGGACACCCTATATATATATATAGGGTGACTTTGAAGTTGAGTTATTAATTTTCAGACAATGATTGTAGAAGGAAGATAAACCAAAATATGTGTGTAAAAATAAAAAAAAAATAAAAAAAAATGTTTACCTTGTTTTATAAAGTATCCTCCCGACAAGTATTTCAGTGCGGACCTGTATTTGATCGTGCGGTCTTGGAGCACCGGCATGCCCTCCCCTGTGAGGTCTAAGTCACCTGATTCACGAGCCCTTTGAACTACATTAACAAAGGCACGAGGAGTTGGTTGCACTCGATTGGGAAACCGATCCGCATCAATCCGTGATGCCGCGTAAAGAAGAATCATGTCCACAAGTTCAGCATTTTCGTAAACATGTGCCATTTTTGATTTCGTTTGAGCCACGCAACAGACACCACTATTCACTCACGCGTTACCGACTGACACTGACTGTATACAACTGAATAAAATGATTGTAAAAACATCGTTCCAAATTCTTTCGCTTTTTTGTTTCCTATCCGATGAACCGATAAGGTGGATTATATCCGTTGTTGCCAAACACGAGCACATAATATTATTATTGAGACAAGGCGGTACCAAATGGCTATAACTTTGTTACTTTAATTTTACCAGAAAAATGGTAAAGGAAAAAAACATTTCTTTTGATCAGATCTACTAACTGTTAAAATAAATGACTCAACTTCGAAGTCACCCTGTATATATAAAAGTTCCAAACAAAAGTTGTTTGGAGAGGGAAAAATGATCATCATTCAGATTACGTAATCTTGAAAAAGTGATATCTGAACGTCTTTTAATATATTTATATATATATATAGAAAATAAATGTGCTATATATTATATATTTTTTAAGAATCTGTTTCCATTTTTCAGGGCTGGTCTCACAACTTTACCTCAGAACGCCAAAATGCATTACAACTACGCCAACTTCCTTAGAGACACAAACAAGTTTGAGCTAGCGAAGGCTCACTACTATACGGCTCTCAAGTGAGTACAGAAATTTATTTCAACACCGATTGCTTATTCAGTATTTGTTCTGCATTTCAGCCGTCTTTAGTTGTTTATTTTTAGCAGTATAGAATGTTTGTCAATGGTTAGTTGGTATCATTTCATGAACGAAGAGTCAATCAGCTTTAGCTCAGCTTTAATTCATCGCATTCTATTTTGATCAGAAAACCACATGCTTGAATAACATCTGAATAAATGTATATATGCTGAGTGTCCTCAAATTTGGTAGTTTTTTACAGAAACAATTAAGCTTGAAATAAAAAAGCGAATGTGTGGTGAAATAACAGCGAAAAAGTAAAAAAAATCGAAAAGAAATTTCAAGTACAGCTCTGTCATTTGTCAGTAATAAGTATTGTTCAAAGTTGTCTACGACAGATTCAAAGACACATTTACATGCTCGACGTAACCAAGCATCGTTATTGGCTTTTTGAATCGACTGAATTTCCCGAATGATTGCAGCAGGCTGCTAAGTTTACAGGCCAAGTTCATCAACCGGGCTCACCCCAGTTTTATAAACTAAACATTTCATTTCGCGTCAAGCAAAAAAAATCACGAAGGAACTTTAAGAACGATCTGCATGCCTTCGCGAAGCCTCGGTAGCATTTTGAAGACACCTCAAATTAAAATAATATCGTCAACTGCGATATCGCTTTAAAAGTTTTTTCTTTAGAACCGATGTGTAACGGTTTTGTTTACCAGCGCGGCCAGCACGAGTACGATGCGCATCGTAGATTTGCTGTGACCGAAGTGCAGGACCGGGTTAGGTTTTGTTTAGGTTTGGTTGGTTTTGCGAAGCCTAACATCTCGCTAATCTTAAAACTTCGGTGTAAATGTATAGTCAACGCCAAACAAAGTGGCGTGCACGTCATCAAGGTGGGTGTGTTGAAAAATTTACATTGTTGCCAAACTTTTTGTAAATTAATAAAATTTATTATTTACATATCTAGGTTTATAAGCAATATTAACCTCAAATGAGAACAAAAATAATAGTATAATAAAATTATAGATCTGTACTTGCATAATCATTAAGTATGACAATTATTGATCAGATGACACTATGAAACTACCATATTTAATTGATAGCTTAAAGGTACTGAATAAAAATCCAAATGGGGTCCTCCAAATTTTATGCATGGTATTTATTTTACAGAATTCATACAGAAAAATGCATTCTAAAATTAGGTAAGCTACTGGTGTAAGCTTTTTCTGTACAATAAAGTTAGTCGGAGTTTCTTTCTTCAGCGCTGTCTGAATCTGAATCTTCATCACTCTCAAAGTTGATTATTAAAGGTTCGATGTCTGGTCGATCAAAAATTCGTTCTCTTTCATACCATTTAAAAATTTCTTGCTCAGTATGTCGAACACTATTTTTCCACATGTCTGGGGTAACCGTTTGTAGAGCCTCGTTCCACATATCCAAACAGTCTTTTTCACTGTTACCATCTCTACCAATATGTCTGTTATAGTAACCTTTTGCTATGCCCCAAATTAACTCAATAGGGTTAAATATACAATGGTAAGGAGGCAGACGAAGAACTTTGTGCCCATGTTGTTCCGCCAATTCATCAATCACGTATATTTTAGGTGGTTTGTTTCTAAAAAATCAGTTATTTTAAGAATAGGAATAAACAAAAGAAATATAAACTGTCGACCAAAATATATATAATTAAGAAGCATTATGTACGGAGCAACAATACTCAATAGCTCTGTTTTAAACATTGTGTTTAAAAATGGTATGTTTTGATTTGTCAACCAGTCTTGGATATTTTTTTTTGTCCATGCATTGTTGGGCACTTTGTTCAATATCATGCTGTGATAAGGGGCGTTATCCAGTATAATCATAGATGGACTCTCCAATTTTTCTAATAACTGATGTTGAAACCATTTCAAAAAATTGTCCTGGTTCATCTCTCCATGGTAATCGCTCAATTTTGTTTTCGAAGAAAATATCGCTTCACTACCCTCAATAAACCCATTTTCATTTCCAGCATGTAATATAATGTATCTAAAATATATTAGTTTTAAATTTTATAGTGCAAATTGTGTAAAAGTACATACCTTTTACCATCTGTTTTAATAGCTTTCACGCTTTTTTGGTTTCCATTTTGCCAAGAGCGACCTATGGTCCCATTTTGAAATATCCAAGTTTCATCGAGGAAGACAAACTGGTATAAGGCCTCAACCTTGGCTTGATTGTATTGCCTTAGAAATTCCACCCTTTTCAAAGCTATACTTGGTAGTTCCATGAGCCCTCGTCGCGGATTGTCCTTAAGCCACTTAAATCCAAGATCTCTAAGCAACCGCCTTAAAGACGTGGCACTACCATCAAATAATGCCCTATCTCTTAATCGAGACCATAAAGTTTGTATCGTAACTTGTTCTTCTGAAACCATGTGTAATATGACATTATAATTTAGTTAACAAATTAACGCAAATTTCTGATAAGTTATTATAATAAGATCTTACTTTTGTGATACATATTATAGATCACTTCTCGAATGGCACTTGTATCCAATGTCGCTGTGTTGGTTACACGTTTAATATAACTCCGCTTTTTCTTGGGCGATTCTAAATTTGCATCACTTTTCACACCCTCGGAAATACGACTAACTGTCCTTAAACTAATTTTTAGAGCAGCAGCAACACGCTACAAAAAATGAAATAAAATGTCACTATTATTAATATACATTACATATAATTATTAGTAACCTACCTCTTGAACAGCATTTAAAGGCAACAAATGCCCGTTGTTGTCCCTTTCTTGCTCAAAGTAGTGCATTAACGAGGCCACGAGTTCCTTACACCGACTATTTAACTGTTTGGGCATCTTTATATACCAAAATTGCCTTTATCTACTCGTAAAATGAATAATTTTGTTTTGAAACAAACAGTTGTTGATTTACAGTATGCGGGGCCAAAGGATTTATAAAGATTTGAAATGCCACAAATTGATTCAGTGTCAAAATTAATACAAATGTCAGTTCCCAGTTTAAATAACTTTCAAGGTGACAATGTGTCAACGCTGCGAAATCGGTTTAGTGCGTTTACATGTCGATAAGTGATTGGAGCGTTTGCAAAACATTTTATTTCGCATAATGCGTCTAAATTTATCAGAAAGCAACTTATGTGATATTTTAATAACAATGTTTATATGACTATTAACCATAATAAGAGAGTAATGACCATTTTACAATTTATATATCACATTAATATGAAACTGCAATAGAGCAATTCTTTGTGATAGAAACCTAGGCATTAGGTCGGGGAATTTTTATCGTGATGACGTGCACGCCACTTTGTTTGGCGTTGACTATACTTCCAAGGTCTATGCAGCGAGTAATGGACAGTCCCAAGTTTGAGGACATCCTGTATATATTTATAAGTGCGAATGTCTTTCCAGTCAGATTTTACGATGACATTCGACAATATTCAACTGTCGAGGCAAGTACCAAAATCTCTAGGATCAGCATCAAGCCGGCAACTGTAGTTTTGTAGCTTTGATAGCATCTAATAAATTGACAGCCAAATTGCATGCTTGGGTTTGGATATTTTATCAGTGGCCCACCTTATACGTCCAGCGAGTAAAACCGAGGAGCGAAAAGCTAGACATTCGTAATGAAAACGCTTAAATGACTATGCAATTCATATATCCCACAGATTATGGCCTTCCTATGCTAGCGCCCACAACAACTTGGGTACACTGCTGAACTATTCACATGAAGCTGAACATCATTTTCTAGAAGCCATCAAGTACTCCTCAGACCACGTCAATGCTCATTACAACCTTGGGCAACTATACAGGTAACGCCATTCTGTTGTAAACTATTTCTTGCAGCTTGGAATTTTCTATTTTAAGCTCTTCCGCCGTCAAATAACATTGTGTCTTTCGACCATAAAAAATTTTTTTTTTTAGAAAAATGAACCGAACTACAGAGTCCGAAATGATGTTGAAAAGGTGCATTGATTTAGAACCGACTTTCGCACCTGCTTACGTAGAACTAGCAAGACTGCAAGATAATGATCTGAACATACTCAAGCTCCTAAGAAGAGTGGTAGAATTGAACCCCAATGATCCATACTTCTGTGCTGCCTTTGGGTATTGGCTGTTCAAGAAGGGTATGTATATACAAAGCCTTGAAAGGTCAACTACAATTTAGTAGCCAGTATTCAGGCGATTACATTAAGAGGATGATAAGCGATTTGTATCAAGTGAAAAAAAGAACGTTTCCGAGATATAAGGTACTAACGCTTAGGTGCCGCTGATAAATCTAGAATATCAAAACTGCAGAGATAAATCAAAATACCATTAAAGGAAGTACAGGGTGGCCCATAAGTCCTTTGAGCTGGAAAAAAAGGAATAAAACCAAACTAGTTACATTATGAAAAATTATTATATTTTGTTATCATCTTTATTGAATGGGAATTATGTTTTAAAAATCACATCGTCTAAATGCAATCCATTACGATCACGGCACTCATATAAACGACGTCTAAAATTGTCGATGACTGCGCGGCAAGTCAACACTGTAATGCTTGCCATTTCTCTTCGGGTATTTTCTTTCAGGACATCAACTGATCGCGGAGTGGTGTCGTACGCTTTACTCTTGAGGTAGCCCCATAAAAAGCAGTCCATTGGGGTCAAATCTGGACAACGTGGTGGCCAGGAAATGTCTCCTCTTCGAGAAATTACTTTGCTGGGAAAAAGTTGACAGACGACGGGCATAGAAGTGTTGGAGGTGTGGGCAGTTGCTCCGTCCTGTTGAAACCAGGTCTGCGTATTATAGCCTGGAAAATTTTGCTACGCTGGTGTCAAAAACCCTTCTATCATTGCTACATACCGCTCCGAAGTAACAGTTAATGCGCGACCTCTGTCGTCCTCAAAAAAATAAGGGCCTACGATGCCATGCGCTGACATAGCAGCCCAAACTGTATCTTTAGGGCTGTGTAAGGGCTTCTGATGCTTACGCCTTGGATTTTCGGGGCTCCAATAACGGCAATTTTGTTTATTTACATGCCCGTTTAAATGGAAGTGAGCCTCGTCCGAGAACAACACATTATTGAGCGAAGAAAATCGATTCAACATTTCATTCGCAAAGTTTAGTCTCTGAATAGCGTCATTATCTTTTAATTCCTGCTCTAACTGAATTTTGTAAGCGTGCAGACGCAAATCTTTCCTTAAAATCCGCTGTAAAGATGTTCTGGGTACGTTTAGTGCACTGGAACACTTACGAGTAGACTGGGTAGGATTTTGACGAACAGACTGTGCCACAATGTTGATGTTTTCTTCAATACGAGTTGTCCTTGGTCGACCCCACCGCTGTTTATCTAACGTCGAACCAGTCTCTTCGAACTTAGCAACCCAGTTCTTAATCGTTTGAGCTGTTGGACACTTTGTAAAATTGTGTAAATTGTGGTATTCTCGATATTTACGCCGCGCAATGGTTGCCGAATCATTATTTTGATAAAACGCGCGCACACAAAAAGCACGATCCGCTCCAGTCAAACACTCCATGGCGACTGAATTCCCAGACACTGAAGATACTGCCCCCACCTCGCCCGCGCCGCTCACGCTCACCCGTTAAATTTTATTCAAATTTGAAATTCCAAAAGAACTTATGGACCACCCTGTATCAATTTGAGTGTCTAACCGTAAAGTAGAGGAACGTTTCGTGTTCTTGTACATATTTTCTTGTGTTTTAAGTTTTGACCCACTTTGGCTTAAAAAAGTCTTTATATTTGATTTCATGTATTACTTAAAAATCGAGTTACATATTAGTATGTTTATTGACGATCTTATAAAACGACAAAATTCATCATACAGTAAAAAAATAGACGTACCTCTTCCACACAAAACATTACTAAAAGTCTATCAACTGACACGACGCCTTAATGGAATTTCTAAAAATTCGATAGACTTTTTCTTCTTTTTCATGGTCTAATATTTCCCAACTTGCATCGGTACTTACCTCTTTGAAAAAATTGTGATGGACTGGAGGTATAATTTAGAGAAGTTTCTCCATGTTTTTTTCTTCTTGTCATTTACGGGGGAGGTCATACAAGAGAGGTAAGTTTATATGTTTCAAGGTTTTGGGTGCGCCTTTCCGATGTTGCTGCAAATTGACAACGTCAAATGGGATATCTTCATATAATTTTGTAAAATTCTTTTTTCTGGAAGTGAAGCCACTGCGGAGTCATGATACAGGGGCGTTATTATCATATTTTTTTTCGATTCCTCTAATGCTGTTGATCAGTCCTTTGCATTTCGTTGACGTAAAAGGGTTTCCTGGGTCTGCATTTGTTTATTGTTGAATGCCAGTCTTTTGGTGTTGATGCTTTTTTTTCATGTTGTTCTAGGAGACTAAAGTCGCGGTCAACAGTCTCAAAACCTTCTGCACCGGCTAAGAGTTTCAGCCTAAAAAGGCATTGCTTGAAATCACGGTTTTGATCACCAAAGGCGTCACTGTAAGCGATTGTTTGACTAGCGTGGACAGAAATGTGCTCCGTATGCATCAGCCTATTTCTTTTGCCCCGTGATGCAGTAATCTCATTCCAGACATTCATGAAACATTTTTCATCTGCTCCCTACACCTATTTCCATACCTGATGATGACAATCCGAACAGCTCAGATTCTCTGTTTCGTACCCGCTTTTGCTGACACTGAACGGTTCCTTTTCAGAATCGCCTAAGCTCATCTTAAACAATGAAACTTCTAACAGCCGAATCGCAGAATGGACTTGGACCATTCTGGTTTTCAATGGCTCAAGTATTGTTCAGTAACATTGGGGCGCGCTTAGGTCGATTCCCTTTCCCTCAGTGGGCATGGACCGTTTTCACCAAGAGACGAGCAACCACAGCCTTATGGCAACCCAGCAAATATGTACGAATTCAGGCATACTCACCCAAGCGATGGCGACGCGACCAGCTGCTCAACGATTGCTAGCACCGCCGTCACGAGTCGCTTTCGAGTTGTCCATCATTTCATGAAAGATTTCATCTGCAAGTGTCAGCGTGATACTCCAGTGATCGTTCGACAGGATTCTCAAAAGATTATTATTGTATTATTAGTATTAGCTACGGCTAGTTACAGTGAACGCCATCCATAAAAGAATGTATCAATTACCGTCATTTGCCTGAAGAACTAAGGCCCGTATGGTCAGTCGTCCCTACAATTGTAGGGCGCCTTTATGGCCTCCTTGATTGTCATAGTTTTCTACTTCTCCGTGTCAGAACTCTATTTTGAGGTTATGTCACAAACATCTATTTGCATCAAATTGTGCTTGCTTTTGAGTTATATCATGTTTTATCAGCATGAAATTTAAAAAGAAAACATATCTTCACAATAAGAGAGCACTGACGCTGACACGGGACAAGCGCGGTGGCGGGAAGCCCAGGTTATAATGCTCACCAAGCCAGGCAAGGACCGGAAGTTGCCCCAGAACTACCGGCCCATCAGCCTGGTTTCCTCGATGGGCAAAGTAGTCGAAAAGGCTATCGCCGTTCGACTAGAGAAGCAGGCAGAAGAACTGCAACTTCTCCCCCCAGAGCAATTCGGCTTCAGATCCTCCCACAACACGGAACTCCAAGCGCTACGACTGACGGAAAACATCACCAGCGGCTTCAATCTCCAGGAGGCAACCGGTCTCGTCCTGCTAGACGTGGAACGAGCCTTCGACCGAGTTTGGCACGATGGACTCAGCGCCAAAATGGAAGCCGCCGGAATCGATGCGAACATGTGCCAACTGATCCAGAGCTATCTAACACAAAGATGGTTCACGGTGAAGATTGGTACATGCCATTCAACAAGACGACAGCTGGAAGCAGGCGTGCCCCACGGGTTAGCCTTAGCCCCCCTGCTCTACAACATCTATACTCACGATGTGCCGAAGACAGCTGACACAATGCTGGCCCTATATGCAGACGACACTGCTATAGCCGCCAAGCATAGACGACCCGAGATCATCCGTAGGAGACTACAGGATGAACTGGACCACATCCAGGACTGGTGCGTGAAATGGAAAATCCGCATCAACGTCCAGAAGGCGCAGGCAATCTTCATTCAACGAAGAAGGATTGCAAGACCTCTCGAAGCATCCATCTTCGACGAAGATATCCAGTGGAGCGACAAAGTCAAATATCTGGGGATCGTATTTGACAAGTCCCTCACCTGGAAAGCCCACATAGAAGCTGTCATCGCAAAGACCAGAGCAGCCATGGCTCAACTCTACCCATTACTGGGTAGATACAGCCGGATGCCGCTAGCGACCAAGCTACGGCTGATCAAGGCCATCGCCAGACCTCAGCTCACTTACGCCTCCGCGGTCTGGGGGTATGCTGCCCCCAGCTACCGCAAGCGACTTGCTGCTCTAGAGATGAAGCTACTCCGGATCGCCACCAGTGCACCATCCTACGTAAGAAACTCAACCTTGCGTAGAGACCTGCATTGGGACACCATCCACGAGAACATGAGGAAAAAAAGCGGAGAAGACCTTCGAGAAAGCTTAGGGCCACCCGAACGAGCAGCTACGATTCCTCATGGACTACGATCCGGACGAGAGGCCTCGCAACCGCAGAACCAGGTACCCCAGACCAAGGTCCCAGTTGGCACCCGCTAACTGGAACCTTGACTAGGAGACTAGGAGAACTCGCGGTTGCCACCCCCCCCCCCCACGGCGTGGATGCAGAGGACCAGGAACCACCGGGACCAGGACCCGCCACGACCAGGACCCACCAGGACCAGGACCCTTCAGGACCAGGACCAGGAACAACATATTGGTAGGAGGACTTGAAACTCTTGATTTTTCGAAAACAAGAGTTTCAAGAGAACCTAGCAGACCCTCTATCGATGATCGCTTAACGACATCGATAGAATGTGCGAGGTAAAGGGAACCAACCCGGCGTTCCCAGAGACTGAAACACATGAGGAGACGTTGTAGCAGACCGCAGGTCACGCACAACACATGGCCTACCGAGACGCTGATGAGTCGGGCCACGCGGAGGTTTAGGGTTTAGTGGGTATTAGGTGATCTCCTCAAGACCCTGGAGTCTCACACACGCCGTAGCTCGGGCTATGGTATGGTGCGTAAATGCATTCCCCCTCACCAAAAAAAAAAAAAAAAACGGGACAAGCGTAATCTATAAATTTTTGAAGGAGAGAAAGGATTATGACAATCAAGGAGGCCATAAACGCGCCCTACAATTGTAGGGACGACTGACGATACGGGCCTAAATCTTATAGCTTAGGTCACAAAAGCTACGGATTCCTAAAGCAAATGTTTACGTACAAGACGTTAGCGTCAGCAGATCTTTGATCACATATACAGGGTGTAAAGTTAGTAGTGGATCAAGGGAAGTCAGGTGATAGAGGGCCTCAAAACCTATCGAATGAACCCCTATACGAGGGTGGGGTGAAAAGTTTCCGGCCTGACCAAGAGATGGCGCCACTGGGTCTACTTTTGGAGTGGCGTCCTATAGAACCATTCCTACCAAGCTTGTATGTACAGTTCCAGCCCAATCGCTACGTTAGTTTACGTTTGAAAGCACATTGCGCGAGACGCGTCCGTTGTTTTCTTAGAAATGGAAAAATTGGAAAAACGTGCTGAGACCTGTAGGATGTCAGCTGAACGTGTGCGAAATATTTTGCACAAACATTTGAACATGGAAAAGCTATGTGCAAGGTGGGTGCCGCGTTTGCTAACGCTCGATCAAAAACTGCGTCGAAAAATCATTTCTACCGACAATTTGGCGCTGTATAGGCGTAATCCAAACGAATTTTTGCGTCGATTCATAACTGTTGATGAGACTTGGGTCCACCACTATACTCCTGAAAGTAAATAACAGTCCAAACAGTGAGTTGGAAAAGGGGAACCAACTCCAAAGAATGCAAAAATAATTTTATCGACAAACTAGATTATGGCTACTGTTTTTTGGGATGCGAGAGGAATTACCTTGAAAAGGGTAAGACTATCACAGGTCAATACTACGCAAAGCTATTGCAACGTTTGAAGCGCGAGGTGCAAATTAAACGACCTCATTTGGCGAAGAAAAAAATTTTGCTTCATCGCGATAACGCACCATCGCATTCGTCGATTATTGCCATGTCCAAAATCCACGAATTGAAGTTTGAATTGGTGCCGCATCCTCCCTACTCGCCAGACTTAGCCCCCAGCGACTATTACCTGTTTCCTAACCTCAAAAAATGGCTTGGCGGTAAAAGATTTAAGAGCAACAAAGAAGTTGTCGAAGCTGTGAATCAGTATTTTGAGGAGTTTGACGAATCCACGTTTAAAACTGGCATAAATGTATCAGTGTTGATGGAGATCATGTTGAAAAATAAATAAAAAAAAATTTTTAAAACGTCGTTTTTCTTGGCCAGGCCGGAAACTTTTCACCCCACCCTCGTATGTGTGGTCCGAAATTTTATAGTTCAGGAGATATTTGCAATTTTGTGAAATTTCTAAAAAAACGGGGTAATGAACTTTCAATCGCAATTACAACTAAACCATTAGGTTTAGGGCTGTGATTTTTTTTCTACGAAGAGCTAAATGGTTAGTTTTTGCAATGGTTATGTCACTGTTTATCAGAGCTTGTTATAAATCAACGCAAAAAATCTTAAATTCATTTTTTGTGAAGAATCTCTTCCATCCCTCAACTTTGGAGGACGGTAAAAAAAATTGAGGTTGTATTTTATTATTCATTTCATTGTAAAAACTATTTCAATCCATGTAGAATAAACCCTGCAAACTTCAGTGTATCATGTCACATTCGTTGACGTGATGCGATAAACGTAAGACACGAAATAGAATCACCTACAAGTACAGAACCTATTATGTTTAGCTGCTCTTTATGGTGATTTATCGACAAATCTGGAAGATAATTTGATTTAACCAACTTTTAAAGGACATGTTCGAAATGGCCTCCATTATTTTCTATACACAAGCGACACCTTCTAATAAAATTTACCTTTAGTATTTGAAATGAATTTGCGTTTTCCATAATTTTTATTTTTGCTTCATCAATCTTTCTGGCGCAGTTGGTTGACATCTGTATATTCAGATGTATAGATTATCCGCTTAGAAACCCCCATTTAAAAAAGTCCAGAGGATTTAAATCGGGTGACCTTGGAGGCCATCGTATGTGTCCACCTCTACCTATCCAACGCCCAGGGCTAGAATACAATACACCAAGAAGGCATCAATCACCTAATCCACTCAGTGCCGCGACGACCTTTTTAAGGGGGATATCTAAGCTATTTTGCGAAATTTCGAGTTAAAATTTTAATCACTTTCTATTTATCAGTGGATCCAAAACTTGTAAATGTATGCTCAAAATTACAACACTCCTAGTCACTGTTGCATTTTATACGACATTTGGTATTTATGTACTTTTTTTTCAAGGGGTGACACATTGAGCCACATATACCTCAGTATAAGATCGAACTGTTTTGAAGTTACGCGCAATCTTGTGAAATCCTGTGATACACAGTCGCTTGTTCAATAATCAATTGCTTTGGTCTCTGATCTTTACTATTTATTTTTCTGTTTGTTTCAGATTTATTCAGCATTAATGCTACAACATCCATAATATCCATACTACATAGTATATCACAAAATATATTATGTCTTCAAGACTACATATTTTTATACAAAATTTCATTACTATGAATTCTGGTTTTGCCATGAGATATTTTTTCAATTTCCCTTTGAACATTTTCAAACTGACACTCATCTTGATATCATTACTTAATTTATTATATTCGTACAATCCCTTTTGAAATACTGACTTGCTCTTGATATTGCTACTGCTACTGGTATTTATTGTTTGGAATTATCTTAACATAAATACGTTCCTTATCGATTTCCCTTACAATCGAAAACAAAAATATACAAGTTAGAACCTGCCCCCTTGTTAGTCAGTATATATAGTCAACGAGGTTTCCCACAACCTCAATACAGGACTGCCAGTTGCTTAGCAATGACTTCAATGGGAAGTCAAAAGCAACGTGTCTGCTTTAGGTGGAAACCAGTTATAAGATCTCGAATATTATTTTTGCAGGTCTTTACGAAGAGTCGCTGCGCCACTATCATAGATCGCTGCAAATTTCCCCAACATACAAAGAAGCTTTTATCGGGGTAGCCAGGGTGTTGAGGAAACTTGGCCAAAGCTCGAGACTCTTTCAAATCGTTACTCGGTGGCAGCTGATTCATAGGAATAGCAGCAATGAGATAAAGCTTAGCCACGTTTATTTGCTGGGATGGTCTCTGAGGAGTGAACTTACCAGTAAAGCGAAGGCCTACGATGTTTACTATGAATTTGTAAGTACATTCGAACAACTCCAAAATAGCAATTATATAAAAATCTGTATTTTAACGTAAGTAAACTAAAAGTTTTGACACAAAATATTTATCGAATTTTTTTAATGAAGAAATTTACTTAAACACTAACTAGCTATTTAGAATTACAACTCAATACTTAACTAAACTAAGCTTTTGAATTATGTGGAGTGGTCCATTCCGCTCTACCAGACGAAACTTTCTTCAGATGTCTCTCACGAGGTCTAGGTCGGAATTCAGACCGATCTCTCAGTTTTTCATAAATTCGCCGTCTTAATTGTTCTTCATCTTGGGCTTCCCAGCCTTCCTAGACAGTAAGGCCCAAAAATTCTCTATTGGGCGAGCTTGTGCATAGGCCGCTTAAACGGACCCTTATGCACTTCTACATCCCTCAGATCACAAGCCTCGCCCTTTCCTACTATCATCAATCTCTCTGACCTCCGTGCAGTAAATGCAAGTGGTGTACCTTTTTTTGGGAGATTAAGGCATGGTATTAGCTGTTTTCATTCTGGAATATTCGACAGATTTCAGCTATGGGTACCCACCCAACGAACTTGCAGATACTTTTCTTATTCCTTATGTATTCGACATCTTAAAGCGAAAAATTCAAAATAATTAAATGTCAACTGCCAGTCAAGTAAAAAAAGAAAATTGTTTCCAAAGTCAACTTGATACTATTTTGGGCTTGTTAAAATTAAAGCCAATGAACTTTGTGCCAAAACTTTTAGGACATGGTGATTCTGAGCGTCGTAAACATTGTATAGGGCAAGAAAAGTAAGGCCACTTTTCAGTGGCAGAAGGTCTTGACAAAGTGGTCACACCATACGTAGTGGAATTTGCTAACGCCGATCTCATTTACAGTGATACAGACAGCCTCATTTATGCGTAACTTTTAAAATTTACATTTCACAGTAGGTTGTACAACTGCCATCACAAGTTTATCGAGGTCTTTTAACTTTTATAATTATCCAAAATTTTGAAAAATTCAATTTTTACCGAATTTTGAAAATTGAAGAATTATGAAAGTTCTAGAATGTTTTTGAAAGCGGCCTATAAACGACTGCATCTACTACTCGCGTCTTTATACAGGGTGTCTCAGAAGTCGATGTCAAGCCGAAACCGGGTGATAGGCAAAGTCAGAACAGCTATCAGAAAAATATTTAAAAAAATTTTATGTATGTGTTTTGAAAATTATAGGTCTTTGAAAAAGATATAGAAATTTCACACCCTACGGCAGTCTGTCAACTCCTGTTACTACAAATATTAACTTTTTTTGCATTTTATTTTTACAATGTAATGATGAATAATGCATCTTCAAACTGGTGTCTCAACCTTACTGCCAACTTTTCTCGTTCAGGAAAAATTGCCACTTATTTCCCAACCAAGTATTCCAAAGTAAAACTTTGCTCAATTTTAACTGGCTGTACTGGAAAAAATGTACTACGAGAGTTTGGCAAGTAACCTTAAAAGTTGGCGCATTTAATAACGATTCCAAAATGGTATAACACTTAGAAGATTACTCGTTAACTTATGCACAATTTTTATTTGAATAAAAACTGATGAAAATTTTTCAAAATTTCCTAATTAAACAGCGATTATGAAAACGCACAAGGACCCTTAAGGATAACTGTTTGCACAACAGTGGGCGTCAAAATGCTGCTGATGATGATTTACCTTTACAGCAAATGCTCAAACTGTTTTCCTTCAGCCGCAATACACGCTCGACATCTTCTTAAAAAACATCGGGTTATTAAACGAGCGAATCCACGGTTATTAACAAACGCAGCTGCTTCCAATAGTCTTTGCCGTAGCTCAGCTACATTTTGAATCGGCTTGAAATACACTTTTTCTTTTACAGTTCCCCAGTAAAAAAATCTAAAGGATTCAAATCAGGTGATCGGGCTGGCCACGGTATTGTACCAGACCGCCTTATCCATCTGACTGGAAAGTTTTGATCGAGATACTCTCTCACTGAGAGTGCATAGTGCGCTGGGCAGCCATCATGCTGAAACCACATGTCCCTGTAAATACTCAGTGGCACGTCCACCAATAAATTTTGTACATGATTTTTCAAAAAATCCAAATAAACTTCAGCAGTCAAAGTCTCTGGGAACTCAAACGGACCGATTATTTTACCATTTAAAATTCCCGTCCAATGGTTTATCTTGAAGCGATATTGAGATTTATCTTCTCTCATCAAATGTGGGTTTGCTACGTGCCACTCGTGTAAGTTATGCAGGTTCATGTACCCATCTTTCTTAAATGTGGTCTCATCCGACCATAAAATCTTTTCAAAGAACTGTGGATCTTTCCTGTGTCTTTCTAACATTGTGCGACAAAAAGCAACTCGGGGCTCATAATTCCGGGGCAGGAGAGGTTGAACACGCTGTATGTGTGTAATTTTGAAAAATGTTCATCAGTTTTTATTCAAATAAAAATTGTGCATAAGTTAACGAGTAATCTTCTAAGCGTTATACCATTTTGGAATCCTTATTAAATGCGCCAACTTTTAAGGTTACTTGCCAAACTCTCGTAGTACATTTTTTCCAGTACAGCCAGTTAAAGTTGAGCAAAGTTTTACTTTGGAATACTTGGTTGGGAAATAAGTGGCAATTTTTCCTGAACGAGAAAAGTTGGCAGTAAGGTTGAGACACCAGTTTGAAGATGCATTATTCATCACTACATTGTAAAGATAAAATCCAAAAAAAGTTAATATTTGTAGTAACAGGAGTTGACAGACTGCCGTAGGGTGTGAAATTTCTATATCTTTTTCAAAGACCTATAATTTTCAAAACACATACATACAATTTTTTTAAATATTTTTCTGATAGCTGTTATGACTTTGCCTATCACCCGGTTTCGCCTTGACGTCGACTTCTGGGACACCCTGTATACTCTGTGACCTTAGAAGTGTTACAGCTGGAAAAAATAGTTTCTTCAACTTGATGTTTTGGAAATGAGGTAGTCTTACATCAAGAAGGAAACGACATCCTCACGGAATTTCATTGACAAGTAATAAGAAAAAAAATAGTAATGTGTTGGGCGACCCCGCAACTGAATACCCTCCTGTATACGACTAGGCATCGACAAAATGAGATGATCCATGTCTGGTTATGACACCTCATTCCAAGAAACTGCTGGATTGGCTGTGGCAGAGTCTGTGGTGGATGGTGCAAACTCCCCATCATATCCCACACATGTTCGATGGGATTTAAATCCAGTGAATGTGGTGGTTGCCGCAAAACAGCAACGCCTGCTTCTTGAAGAAAGTCCGTAGTACGGCGAGCAATATGGGGACGTTGTCTTGCTGAAAAAGGACGTCTAGATATGGCAGTAAAGTGGTTTGAAGGACATCAACATAACGCGTAGCAGTCATTGCTTTTAACAAAGAGAAGGGGTGATGGTCTACATAGGCAATAGCTCCTCAGTCCTGTGTACATGACTCTCAACAGCAAATCCAATATTACGCCGTTCTCCACGACCATCGTGCGTACCTAGACAGAATCGCGATGAAGATGAAGATGACATTATGCCATTCTGCCTCCCAATGTTGCCGTTCTCTGCTCCAGTTCTAACGTTGACGACAATGGTCCGCAGTCAGATTAAGCACTAACCGTAGACGGTGTGAAGAAGTCTAGAGGCTCGAATGCGGCGATAGATTTTACGCGTGGTAACTAACAGATCTACCTTCTTCACCAACTCATTAATCATCGAGCTGACGCGTAGTAACAAAACGGTCTCGTTGGGCTAGTTGTCTGAAGCACTTGTCTTGACGCTCTTTGGTACCAGTTGGCCTTTTTCGTGTTCATCTACCTTCTTCTAGCCACACACGACACACAGACATTACCTTCATTCCAGTACAATTAACACGGCGACCATCATCTGGATAGGCAATAATTCTACTCCTGTCAAAGTCGCTAACATGGTGATAATTTGGACGTCGAAGCATTTTGTTTTGCTTAACACTAGTAAATGAAAGGACAATAACTAAAAATATCTGTACTACTCAACTCTCAGAAACAGCTTTCTTCACAAAAACTAAGAGAAAACATTTTAACAAGGTAAACAGAAACAAAGATAAAACGTTGATATTGTTGCCAAATCATGCTTTAAAACAAAAAACAATTGAAGAATTTATTTTTTCTAAGTGTAACACTGCTAATGTCACTACTACAACCCATAACTTTTCGTATACAGGGTCCGGGTGATAGGCAAAGTCATAACAGCTATCAGAAAAATATTTAAAAAAATTTTATGTATGTGTTTTGAAAATTATAGGTCTTTGAAAAAGATATAGAAATTTCACACCTTACGGCAGTCTGTCAACTCCTGTTACTACAAATATTATCTTTTTTTGGATTTTATTTTTACAATGTAATGATGAATAATGCATCTTCAAACTGGTGTCTCAACCTTACTGCCAACTTTTCTCGATCAGGAAAAATTGCCACTTATTTCCCAACTAAGTATTCCAAAGTAAAACTTTTCTTAACTTTAACTGGCTGTACTCGAAAAAAATGTACTACGAGAGTTTGGCAAGTAACCTTAAAAGTTGGCGCATTTAATAAGGATTCCAAAATGGTATAACACTTAGAAGATTACTCGTTAACTTATGCACAATTTTTATTTGAAGAAAAACTGATGAAAATTTTTCAAAATTTCCTAATTAAACAGCGATTATGAAAACGCACAAAGACCCTTAAGGATAACTGTTTGCACAACAGTGGCCGTCAAAATGCTGCTGATGATGATTTACCTTTACAGTAAATGCTCAAACTGTTTTCCTTCAGCCGCAATACACGCTCGACATCTTAAAAAAGATCGGGTTATTAAACGAGCGAATCCACGGTTATTAACAAACTCAGCTGCTTCCAATAGTCTTTGCCGTAGCTCAGCTACATTTTGAATCGGCTTAAATAATACTTTTTCTTTTACAGTTCCCCAGTAAAAAAATCTAACGGATTCAAATCTGGTGACCGGGCTGGCCACGGTATTGTACCAGACCGCCCTATCCGTCTGCCTGGAAAGTTTTGATCGAGATACTCTCTCACTAAGAGTGCATAGTGCGCTTTGCAGACATCATGCTGAAACCACATGTCCCTGTAAATACTCAGTGGCACGTCCTCCAATAAATTTTCTAAATGATTTTGCAAAAAACCTAAATGAACCTCATCAGTCAAAGTCTCTGGGAACTCAAAAGGACCGATTATTTTACCATTTAAAATTCCTGTCCAATGGTTTATCTTGAAGCGATATTGAGATTTATCTTCTCTCATCAAATGTGGGTTTGCTACGTGCCACTCATGTAAGTTATGCAAGTTCATGTACTCATCTTTCTCAAATGTGGTCTCATCTGACCATAACATTTTTTCAAAGAACCGTGGATCTTCCCTGTGTCTTTCTAACATTGTGCGACAAAAAGCATCTCGGGGCTCATAATCCCGGGGCAGAAGAGCTTGAACACGCTGTACGTGGTATGGATGGAGCACGTTTTTTTGCAAGATTCTATGGGCTGTACTTTTGGGCACACCTGTTTTTAGTTCTATTGCACGCACTGAAGTACTCGGGTCTTCTTCGACAGCTCCTAGCACCATGTCTTCGTAAGGAAGGAAACATCTTCCCTCACCGTGTGATTGGTTTGGTAGTTGGCCCTTTGAGAACAGTAAGCGGCGCACATTTCTGAACACTCGATGATCTGGATGACTAGCTGCATTCGGGTACCTCTCACAGTAAAGTCTCGCTGCAGCACGAGCGTTGCATCTGCATTCCCCATAAATGAGGTGCATGTTAGCATATTCTTGTACGGTGTACACGGACATAGCGGCACTGCACAATCACACTATCAAAGATAGTCTAAGGAAAGCAAATGTTGTTTTGAAGAGCAATTAAACAGTCCAAATCCAAATCACAAGCGATCACAGGCCAGTTCACGAATCCAAAATTAGTAACAGTACGAAATCAACAAGCACGAACATGTAAAGATGAGCAGTAAACGAAGGAGTACTGATAGGTATCAAAGTGTGCAATAGCAAGTAAGTGATGTGCTTCATCCATACCACATACGTTATAGCGTGTTTAACCTTTCCTGTCCCGGGATTATGAGCCCCGAGTTGCTTTTTGTCGCACAATGTTAGAAAGACACAGGACAGATCCACAGTTCTTTGAAAAAATTTTATGGTCGGATGAGACCACATTTAAGAAAGATGGGTACATGAACCTGCATAACTTACACGAGTGGCACGTAGCAAACCCACATTTGATGAGAGAAGATAAATCTCAATATCGCTTCTAGATAAACCATTGGACAGGAATTTTAAATGGTAAAATAATCGGTCCGTTTGAGTTCCCAGAGACTTTGACTGCTGAAGTTTATTTGGATTTTTTGAAAAATCATGTACAAAATTTATTGGTGGACGAGCCACTGAGTATTTACAGGGACATGTGGTTTCAGCATGATGGCTGCCCAGCGCACTATGCACTCTCAGTGAGAGAGTATCTCGATCAAAAGTTTCCAGGCAGAAGGATAAGGCGGTCTGTACAATACCGTGGCCAGCCGGATCACCTGATTTGAATCCTTTAGATTTTTTTACTGGGGAACTGTGTATTTCAAGCCGATTCAAAATGTAGCTGAGCTACGGCAAAGACTATTGGAAGCAGCTGAGTTTGTTAATAACCGTGGATTCGCTCGTTTAATAACCCGATCTTTTTTAAGAAGATGTCGAGCGTGTATTGCGGCTGAAGGAAAACAGTTTGAGCATTTACTGTAAAGGTAAATCATCATCAGCAGCATTTTGACGCCCACTGTTGTGCAAACAATTATCCTTAAGGGTCCTTGTGCGTTTTCATAATCGCTGTTTAATTAGGAAATTTTGAAAAATTTTCATCAATTTTTTTTCAAATAAAAATTGTGCATAAGTTGACGAGTAATCTTCTAAGTATTATACCATTTTGGAATCGTTATTAAATGCGCCAACTTTTAAGGTTACTTGCCAAACTCTCGTAGTACATTTTTTTCCAGTACAGCCAGTTAAAGTTGAGCAAAGTTTTACTTTGGAATACTTGGTTGGGAAATAAGTGGCAATTTTTCCTGAACGAGAAAAGTTGGCAGTAAGGTTGAGACACCAGTTTGAAGATGCATTATTCATCATTACATTGTAAAAATAGTATCCAAACAAAGTTAATATTTGTAGTAACAGGAGTTGACAGACTGCCGTAGGGTGTAAAATTTCTATATCTTTTTCAAAGACCTATAATTTTCAAAACACATACATAAATTTTTTTTAAATATTTTTCTGATAGCTGTTATGACTTTGCCTATCACCCGGTTTCGGCTTGACGTCGACTTCTGGGACACCCTGTATTTTGAACCAGGTTTAGACTCCTTATTCAACAAACATGTTTTTCAGGGCAATTCCTACCTCAACACTGGAACTACCGAGAATTGCTCGTTGAAGGAGAAGTGGTTGAAGCAGAAGAGAAACAAAACGTCAAGTCGAAGTTCTAAAGGCGAAGAAAAGATCCGGACAACAAAATACGTGTCACCGTTCATAGTTCACCATCTGCTAGATAGTCTGTAGCTAAAAGAGAAACTTAGTCAACAAATCGTGATATCTCAAAGTATTAAAATAAAGTTGTATTGTGTGCAATAGCAGTTACTAAATGGAAATGCAATGTTTGGCAGAATCTGCTTGACGTGTGATGATCAGATGCAACGTAGGCATGTCATTGTCGTTTTTTCAAGACATTACTATGTGCATCTCACGATTCGAGCGGAGTTTGTCGAATTGCATCAAAAAAGTGCCAACAAAAAGATGTAAATGGAAAATCTGCTGAGGCGAATGACTGGTGACGAGTATTCCAAAGCAATTTTTCTAAGTAAGCTTGTAAATAAATGTACATTTCGATGAAAAACAAAAGCGATATTCTAATATGTACCTTATTTTTATAAAATTTATTTGGTAGTAAGTTGTGAATTTCAAGGAGGAACAAGTAGATTGTTTTGCTGGATCCAAAGCAAATGTTCATAGCCCAGTGTATTTTTACCAGGTTACGAAACAGCCAATACATTTTTTTCACTTTGAATCACTATAGATCGCTTGATGGTTGCAGAATTTTTCTGATATACAGGGTGACTTCGAAGTTGAGTCATTTATTTTAACAGTGAGTAGATCTGATCAAAAGAAATGTTTTTTTCCTTTACCATTTTTCTGGTAAAATTAAAGTAACAAAGTTATAGACCTTTGGAAGTTTGAGTACCGCCATGTCTCAATAATAATATCATGTGCTCGTGTTTGGCGACAACGGATATAATCCGCCGTATCGGTTCATCGCATCGGAAACAAAAAAGCGAAAGAATTTGGAACGATGTTTTTACAATTATTTCATTCATTTGTATACAGTCAGTGTCAGTAAATAGTGGTATCTGTTGCGTGGCTCAAACGAAATAAAAAATGGCACATGTTTATGCGGATCGGTTTCCCAATCGAGTGCAACCAACCCCTCGTGCCTTTGTTAATGTAGTACAACGGGCTCGTGAATCAGGTGACTTAAGACCTCACAGGGGACCTCACGATCAAATACAGGTCCGCACTGAAATACTTGTCGGGAGGATACTTTATAAAACAAGGTAAATTTTTTTTTTTATTTTTACACACATATTTTGGTTTATCTTCCTTCAACAATCATTATCTGAAAATTAATGACTCAACTTCAAAGTCACCCTGTATTTTCAGAACTTTTGGCGATATGTGCAAAATTAGTTTTTCGAGCCAAAGCTTTTGGGTCTATCCTACAAACTACTTCCATGCCCCATAACACCTAGACTATAGTGTTGTAAATATAATACAGGGTGGTCGATATGTAACTGAATTTTTGTGAAATGAAATAAAATACGTAATTTTTTTTTCATCTTGATCTTTAATTGAAACTTTGAAATTATGTATGAAAAATAGTATCAGACAAATGTCCGCCTCCAGAAGCCGCGCAAACCTGATTAAGTTTTCCATCGTTTTTTGGTAGGTTTCGGGAGGAGTATACGTTCAGTCGCTTCCGTAATATTGTTCTTCAACTGCTTCTACAGTATTTGGCATAAACCCTATTTTTCAAAATCCCCATAAAAAGTCAGGAGCCGTTAAATCCGGTGACCTTGGTGGCCAGTTGACTGAATCGAAGAATTAAACGTCCCGGAAATATTGTTCGTAAAAGATTCATTGTTTCCCTAGCTGTGTGACAAGTTGCTCCGTCCTGCTGGAACCTCATGTTTTGCAGGTTAAATTGTTGGAGGAACCAAAAATTTTTGCATCAAGGAATTACCTGCAGCGTCTTCAAAGAAGTAAAATGACACCTCTATACCGAACGCAATTCTGCTTATTAACAAATTCGTTCATATCGAATTGGGCTTCATCGCTCATTATCAGTTGGCGGTAAAAATCGTTATTTTGGTTCTTTACAACGATGTCTAGTAGACGTCTTGGGGCGCCTCACTACTCTTTCACGAACTCTCTCGATATTTTCGGAGTCCGAACAGTTCAAACACAACATTAACTTCACCTGTTTTTGCAAAGTTCCGCAGCAAATTGCAACAATCGACTCATTATTTAAGTAAAACGCTTTAACAATACGGACGAGTTGTGGCGCTTCATGATAAATTGGACACATGTGCTTTAAACAACTAATGAAATGCATGTGTCAAAAGTGGCACGCAATTTAAATCATTGTATTGGCCACCCTGTACTTCACGTTTTCGTTTACTCATGTTCCACTAAATTATAGTAAAGTATTGTTAGTCATAATTTCTTGCCTGCGATATTTTGGGGGTTTTTTGCTTACTGAAGCTGCATTAGATACCTGACCGCCGATAATGGTAGGAGTAAGTTACCTAGTGTGAGCGAAGTCTGGAGCTGGTAACAGTGACAGACGTTGAAATGTAATCATTCTACACTCTACTGTGTTTCATCATTAATTAGTGCATTCTCCAAGTAGATGTCCAATCGTACAGCAAATTCAGCTTTGGAGGGACTAGAACCAGGATGTTATCAAGTCAAAAACATACTCCATTTTCCTTTTACAAAGAATTGTTTTTCTCAAAAATGATAACATATTTGCGACCTGAATCAAGCATTTGGAAGCTCGACATGATCGAAGAAAATAATTCCTTTTTTGTCTGAGTTTCTTTGCGATGTGGTTGCACCTCGTACCCCTATACGTACCTGTATCTTAACTATACCCCATTCGTAGTCCATCTACGCCCATTCAAAACACAACATGCGCAAAAGCGAGATTGTACAGGTCCGTATTTGCCTTAATGGTCTAACAAAATAAACGATTATTTTTATAGAAAGAAGTGCACTTTTCACAAACCTTTATTCGCCGGAATTTGGTTTGCCGTCACTCTGTTGACAGCTTCATAAAACAAATTTTTCGCGTCAGAAAATTTGAATGTTCTATTATTTGAAACCACATAGTTTTTTATATATGCCCAAATCATTTCAATGGGATTTAATTCACAGTGATAAGGGGCCTTAAAACGGTATTGTTTTGGTTTTTAGCCATTTCATCAATAACACTAAGATTCTATTTATATTTGTGCTGTCTGACTAGATAGATAAGTTCTGTTTTGATTATATTTTCATCGAAACTGATGTCTTCTGACATGAGCCATTGTTGAATTTCTGCCTTTTTTGTGGTCATTATATTAATTTTTTATAGTTTTCTAATGTGGTATGCAGCATTATTATTGTCATCAAAACATCGTTCAAATGCTCATAGAGTGGGCACAAAGTCATCTTCTCTGCCAATGTGATAGATAACAAATCGTTTTCCTTTTCCTGGAAATAATTATTTCATATAGTATTCAAGAAAACTAATAATAATACAGGCAGAGTATCTAACTGGTGTTGGTTCCAAATTCTACCAGATATAGCTAAGTTAAGTGTTGCTAAGTTTTCAGCGTGGGCTCAGATTCAGTCTACTTTACACCATTTTTACAACACAAATGTCTAATCTATTCTATTCGTCATTGTCTGTCAGAGCGGTCCGCAGGACCTTTGCTCTTGGTTAAAGTCTTGTAAGTCAGAAGGGAAGAAGAAAGGAAGGAAGGAGGGAGAGCAAATAAAAAAAGAAGTGCGTTAGTTTGAGGGGTGCCTTGGCATTGCTAATTAGTATTCGGCAATCTTATATTGATACTAAAATTAATTTTGGGATTGGTTGTTGAAGAAAAATTATAATTTTGGTTGGACATAAAGTCGCACGATTTAACTTTGTTCACAGTGTGAGTCGCGGCCTTGTGTGTTTGCGAAGTTGCTCGACTGTGTAGTCTAATGACTCGCGCAAAAAAGGGTTGTTATGCGATTCCGCTTGGCTATAACGTAGCTGCGCTTGTTGTTTGATGTAGTCCCTTAAGTAAGCGATGTCAAGGTCTCTGTGAAGGGTCTCGTTGGAAACATACCATGGGGCGTTAGTGATTGTACGCAAGGTTCTGTTCTGCAAAACCTGCAGGCTACGCAAATGCGTTTTGGCGAGGAAACACCATCAATCTTAATTTTGATGTTCTACATAGCATAGGGTAGAGTTGCCGAAACGAGATTTTTCATTTAGCATTTAACGCTTCAGTGTGCTTCTGCCAGGTCATCCCCTTGTCAAGAGTGACACCGAGATACTTAGCAGAGCTTCCTCATGGTACCCGAGCTCCATTCACTGAAACCTCAGACGGGGCGCCGCTACTTTTTTTAGTACAATAGATTGCCTGCATTTTCGAATGATTAATTTTGGTCAGCCACCGATTCGCCCATTCCAATACCTCGTCCAATGCACTTTGCAGCCTGTCGTGAACTAGATCCCCAGAACACGACTGGGTCACCAGGGCAGTGTCATCAGCATAGAGATAGATTTCACAGTTGCTGGGGCAAGGAACGTCATGAATAAAAAGTGAATAAAGGACTGGTCCACGAACCGAACCCTGAGGGACACCGGCTTTACTGGGCCCTGTTGTCGATAGAACGTTATTAATTTTGATCCGAAATTTTCTACCCTCGAGGAAGGATTTCAAAAGTATTAGGAGCCAGAAGGGCAAGCCCTTATGGATCAATTTGTAGAGAAGGCCTTTGTGCCACACCTTGAGACATCCAGAAGCAAGATGCCAGTACCTACGTTACGAATGAACCCTGGTTACTCGTTCAACAAGCCTTGTGGCCTGTAGCTCCGTACTATGCTCAGACCGAAAGCCAAATTGCACGTCAGGAATCACATTGTGGTCTGACGAGAAATTTTCAAGGTGACGTAGAATCACCTTTTCAGCGAGCTTAGAAGGAGCTGACAGTAGACTAATGGGGCGGTAATCCTGGGGGAATATCGACCCCACCTTCTTTGGGATCATTATGACATCAGCGGTCTTCCACGCCATTGGGAAGTGCTGGATCCTTAGCATGGCATTGATTATTGCCACGAGATAAGTTAAGGACTTCCGCGAAAGTAGCTTAAGCGCCTTATTAGTGATTCGATCCTCTCCAGGTACTTTACGCACCTTGAGGTCTTTAATATGACCTTGAAGCTCTGCTGGTGTGCAATGCGGAGCCTCAGGAGATTCCGCTGATGTGCCTTGCAGCTCTTCAGTTGAGAAATCTTCTCAAGATTCCTCTAAGGAAAAATCACTAAGGGAGGCACTTCTGCCACTGACGCCGTTGGTCCTAAAATATCTCCTGACGGATCTTACAATATGTTGCTCGTCATCGAGGTCTTTATCAAGTTAGGAGAGAACTGACTTTCCATTGCATCAGCGAAAACCTCGACCTTTTCCCCTGTCCTACAGACTACGTCCCTAGGACCGTGGATGTGCGGGAGTTGTTCTCGCTTTCCGTTTCTGAGCGACTTTGCAACTTTCCATACTTGAGTCAAGCATCCCCGACAGAAAGTCGCTCCATTGCTCATTACGGAATTCATGAAGAGCATTTCTCACTTCGTGAACAAGATTCGTTGCTCTGTGAATGTCACCTGGGTGACAAGACCCCTTCGCTTGCTTAATTGCAGCTCATTTGTCAGAAATTTTCTGACGAATGTCTGCAGGGAGAAACACAAATGACGTTCCGTTAGATCACGTACATCACGGATTCTTTAGGCCAGTGGTTAGTCCATCTAAAGAAGCTTCTCTTGCTGATTTAATTGTAGTGTCAACCCAT